CTTACCTTAACTCACTGTGTTAAACATTACCAGTGAAGTTAATGGGATTTTCAAGATCTGAGATTGGTTTTAGAATATTGTCTTTGCTTTAATTACTTTTATTACTTTGTGCACTATGTGCCGGTACTTTAAAGGTTAGTAGGAAAAAAAAGATTTTAGTCCTAACATTTGAAAGTAAATATTTAATTAACCTTTTCTCCTTTTTACTATGTCTTGAACCTTGTGTAATGTGGAAAGTTAAAAATGGACATATGTCAATTCTGCTACTTTTTATCATTAATAGGGGATCTAAAGCCAAATTATTATTTCTTCTGAGTAAATTATATTTTCATTTGGCCTTCAGTGTTATATTTAGAAACTAATGAAGCACGATGGGTTACAGACCAAAGAAACAAGAAATATAATTTGTGTTAGTGTACTGAATTAGCTGCAGCTAAGTGCATTGAAATGAGATGTGCATATCATTAGAGTGTTTTTAAATAGCTAAAACATGTTTTAAAAATGTACTACTCACATTAGTTTAATAATATTAGAATTGATTACTTTGTTTTTAATGGATGATGTATGGCTTGCACCTACTTTATTCTTTTTCAAAGCTCACAGTATGCCTATTGACCTGAATGAGAAAAACATACATATATATATATATCTTCTGTATCTTAGTGCCTCCAATTTGTTTTATTAGGTCATATTCATATCACAACCCATTTCTGGGAGTGGTTACTTTGAAAGAAATAAAAAAAAACAACAGGTGCATGTTTGCCTTAAATTTAGTATACTTGAAAATGAATCATATATCTAAGAAGGAGAGGAAATAAATAGTTTGTGTATAGACAAACACACAAACCTTATCCAGGTTTAGAACTAGAAGTTGACAGGTGAATGTCTCAGGAGAATACACCAGAGAGACAGTGGTACTGTGAAGGGAAGACCAATAATTAGTCAGGGATTCCAAGGATGATAATTGCTATCATTTCTGGCAAAATTAAGTAAAACTAAGTTCAACAAATAGATCTGTAATAATTACTGTGTGGTGTATAGTCTGAAGACTTCTTTGGTAGTAGCACTGAGCTTGTCTGGTTTTACTCAGGGCTCATGAATTTAAAAATCATGTTTGAGTTCATTTGGTAATCAATATTTCTGTCGCAAATATTGTAGTACAGCATAGATACAGTATTGGAAACAATAATATATGTAGTGAAACTGCATTTTAACATATGTTGCATATATGTTTCGAATGGCACCTGTTTAAATTAGCATATTATTACATTTTATTTGGCAACTGCATACATGTATTTTATAGGAAATTAACAGGCATTTTTACTTATTTTTATTATTTGTTATTTGTGGGTTTGCAATATTGAAATTATATGTTAGAGCACCACAAACAAAAAAAGACGTTTGTTATACTATTTACTGTGTTTTCAGTTTTAGTTTTAGTTTTCAGTTTTAGTTTAGTACCATATTTAACCAGCAGCCATATCACCCTGCAACTCACAACTGGCAGCCCACTGAAGCTCAGCAGGTGTGAGCCTGGTCAGTACCTGGATGGGCGACTTCCTGGGAAAAACTAAGGTTGCTGCTGGAAGAGGTGTTAGTGGGGGCCAGCAGGGGGCACTCACCCTGCGGTCTATGTGGGTCCTAATGCCCCATTATAGTGATGGGGACACTATACTGTAAACAGGCGCCGTCCTTCGGATGAGACGTAAAACCGAGGTCCTGACTCTCTGTGGTCATTAAAAATCCCAGGGTGTTTCTCGAGAAGAGTAGGGGTGTAACCTGGCTAAACTTCCCATTGGCCCTTACCAATCATGGCCTCCTAATAATCCCCCTCTATGAATTGGCTACATTACTCTTCTCTCCTCCCCACTGATATCTGGTGTGTGGTGAGCATTCTGGCGCACTATGGCTGCCGTCACAACCATTGGTGGTGGTGGAGGGGAGTCCCCATTACCTGTAAAGCGCTTTGAGTGGAGTGTCCAGAAAAGCGTGTAAGTGTAAGCAATTATTATTATTATATTTATGGGTTCTAGTCTTCAGGGCCATTTTTCATAATCGGCAGCAAAGTCAAGTGTCCCTTTCAAATTTGTGACATGCGTTGTTTCTACAGTTCCATTATCCTTGTAATATCCAAAAGACAATAACATCTCAGCAAGACTCCTTGGCCGTCTTGAAAGATGTTGCGGGAGAAGACAGGAACCTTCTTAGCAGAGAGTGTTGAAGTGATCCTGCCCAATATTCTCCATTTGGATTAATTTGAACAGGAGGATTGCATTATGCCTGAAATAACTATATTGTGTCAGGAGGTTACCCATCCCTAACTTGAACTTGAACTTGAACTTTATTGCCATATGTAACCGGTGCTGGTACAATGGAATTCTTACTTACAGAAAGACTCTCGATTGTAAAACAAGTGTAAAAAACAAGACAAAGTTGCAACTTTGTACCTGTTGTATCATACTGTTGTACCCTAGTGTATCATACTAGGGTTATTATCGGGGCAAACACATTCTGATTATCTCTGTTAGTGATTTGTTTTATTTTATATCAAATCAGGCTTATGTAGATAGTCTTAAACCCCACTGTAACTTTTGGATGTAGGTTATGAGATGAGGCTTTTGCTCTTATGGGGTGGTTCTGAGGTTTCTTGTGTGGCACAGTATATTGTGTGAATACCTGGGGTACGAAATAGTGAAAGATTTCAAGTATAACAAGTGCTGGAACTGTACACACAATTTTTGGGTCAAGATGGTATAAATACCGGGGGTTTGGACTGAATTTTGGTAGCAGCCCTGCAACAGCTTACAGCAAGCGAGTGGTCGTTGTGAATTCCCCGGTATGTTGTTTTTTTTCAATTATTCAGATTCATTCCTTTCAACGAGTATGATGACTAGTGTAAACTAAGGGGTGTTTGTGGTTGTAAGGTAATAGGTTCAGTATCTACCTCCTTGGCATTTGAGGAAATCATGTCTTTAAGTGTAATGAAAAATAAGCACTCTATAAATGCCCCTATTTACTCACACATGCACAAACAAAACAAATTTCATGCCAGTTACCCTGTAAAGATTCATTTCCAATACATTCTGTGCTGTGATAACACCTGAGCCTAAAGTTACTATTCATAATTTAACAATGTGCAAATGGATGCCTTTTATTTTGTTTTTACTTTCCCGCAGTGTGATCTACAAAAGCTGTTACCAGCTTCAGCTTTTACACTCAGGTGGCTGATTCTCAGAACAAATAAGAAAGGCTTTATTTTATACACGCTATACCTTGCAGTTTCAAAAGTCTTTCGGGAAGACAAGATTACAGGAGCAGCCTGCCGTGAGGACTGTTGTTTGAAAAAGTAGCAGAAGGGGTGGTTTGCAAATCCTTGGGGTTAATGTTAGACCATGTATTTAATTCACATGAAATAAACTTTGGATTATAGCCATCAAGCGGGTGCGCTGGCAATAGTTTCATTTTGACTCTCGTGACTCTGCTATGCTGTTATGTTAGGTTTGTTAACGAAGCCACTTGCTTTAAACATTTTCTTCAGAGTTTAAATTCTGTTAATTTTCTTTTAAATTTATTTTAAAACGTGTACATCATCCCTGGCTGTTTTATTAGAGCAGATTAATTTACACACCGCACTATTTCTTAATGACTTTGACAAATGTCTAATATTTAAACGTTGAAATGCCTCAAACTTTTATTAATGTTCAACATATCTTATTTGTGGCAGAGCCTTTTCTCACCTTTTTCGGCTTCTACAAAATCAAGCATGCATGGCAAAAACCATCGTTTGTGTGGAAACCTTTTAACATTTTGGAACATGATGACATTCCTTCAAATTGCTAAGTAAATTACACTGTGGCTTTTAAAAGGACGTATGGCTGGGTATGTCTGAGGTTAAATAAAACCCCAAAGCAGTATTAATACAGTGCTGATGCACATTTTCATAGAAAAATCACTTTTTTATTGTCCATTACTGCAACCTTTTGCTGTTTTAGAGCAGGTGCTGTGAAGTATTGCTCACTGCTGGGAAGTGCTTGAACAGATTTTCATGGTCTTAACACTTTCAATAGCAGTAATCAATGCCACTCAGCCTAATCTCAGAAAAGTATTATCTTTTAGTGAACCATTACTTTTCTGAACAATCTCATTCTAAAGAGTGTTCAAGCTTCAGTTGCAGCCCTGGATTTCTATTTAGTGACTGAAGGTCATGGGTGTAAAGAATACAGAAGTAAAAATATACTGTAAGATACTATTGTCAACCAATTTAATACATATTAAATAGTAAGTGTGTTAGGCCTTTTAAGACAGTTTGTCAGTGAGATATTCTTTTTTTCTGACTCAATGTAAAGAACTTATGCTGGATGCAAAGTATGCTGTCCCAAACTAAATCAGACATCTGTGACAAAACACAACCATAGATACAAATTAATAATAAGATGAGTTGGCTGTTACAAAGGGAATAAATCTGAGCTTCATTAAAAACATGATTGTGACCTTTTAAGGAAACAGTTGGGCTTGAATTTTGGATTAAATTCTTTCGTTAATTGCTTTAACTGGCCGTGTTACAGAATGGCTTGCTTCTTGTATGAGCAAAAACTGTTATGTAGGCGGTGGGAAAAAAAACTAATTAATTTTTGTATCATATACATCTGCAGGGTTTGGATCACAACAGAACTTTCAAAGTTAATGTTTAATGAACAGCGTGTCAATTGGGCATCATGAAGTGGTATTTTGTGAGGAAATGTTCTTTATTGACTATTGCGCATTTCTGAACATATGTGCCAATAATGTGCCAATAATAAAAAAACAGGAAAAATACTATTTGTAAAGGTTCAAGAAAGTTTTTCTTTCATATTTGATTTGTTTATTATTCAGTTATATATTATATCTATGAATCTATAAAGATATAGATCACAACTATGAAATAATTGTTGTTATTAAACAGTGAGGCTGCAGTTGCTGAATTCTGTTTTCCTATCTTTTTGTTCTGTTTCTCTAATTAGTCTTACCCTGTGCCCAGCCTTGGTGACGAAGACTTCAACATTCCTCCCATCACACCTCCTACACTGCCCGATCACACACTCGTCCACATGCCACATGAGCCAGAATCTGGAGGGTATCCTTCTCTTTGCACCTCAGTTTCCCAAAATGGACTGCTTCCATTCCATCCCCAGAACATGGACCTTCCAGCCATCACTGTGTCCAACATGCTGAGCCAAGATGGAGCCCTGCTGTCCAACTCCCTGTCTATGGTAAGTCCCCATCACAGAATCAAAATGACAAAATGATGTTTAATGTGTTAGGATCGAGCGCCTGATGTGAATATAACCAGCTCCAGTCTAGTTAGAGAAAAGGAAAATTGGTTACCTTGCTCAAGGTAATATTTTTAATTGTAGTTTCCATGATTTTGGCTAGCCACAAATGTTTGGTGGTTAAAAGCTGTGAACTGTACAGTATTGTAACATGTGATACCTTTGCACGTGATCCACCATTCCTTTTACAATAATGGAATCATTTCATGAAGCTGTGATCACCAAATTAGTTTTTATTGTTGAATAGTTGGTATTATTATAAGTATTTTAAAATGAGAACCATTTTGACAAATCATAAGAAGCCAATGACTTTTTAAAGAAAATTACTGGAAAAATATGTGCAAGAAACTTAATTTTGTTACAAATACAGTATGACATACCTCTATTCCACGGTGCTGACTTGATGTAGCAGAGACTGCCATTAGATGACAGTTCATTTTGTCACCAAGAGAAACACAGCTCATCTAAAATGATGTCCTACCAGTGAAATGTGCACATTTGTACAGTTATATAAAATGTCATGTTTTGATCATCCTATTCAAGTCAAAATGGCATTATATCTTTTCAGAAACCACTTGTCATCCAAACATTTGCCATATTCTTTTAGAATATAGTTATATGACTTCTCTGATAGGCTGAATGAATGCTTTCTATTGTACTGTTGTTTATTGTCGATATGCTGAAAGACTATATCATTTCCTTTGTGCAAGTAGCCACACACATATCCAATTAAATATTTTTTGTTCTGCAAATATATGCCTTTAAGAGGTTGAAAAGCAGAACCTCTTTTATGATGTTATATGTTTACCACATTTCAAAAAGTACAAATGCATGTATATACATAAGTATCTGATGTGAATTCAAAAACACAGCTTCCTAATTGGCAATATAGTATTTTCTGCATTGTGATTGTAGTTAGTCATTTAAGTACTTGGGTGTACATTCTGTAATAAGGAGACTTCATGATCCATTTTTTAAAATTAAAGACAGTTTAGGATTTAAAAGTTACTGCAGAAGTATCAGACATGATTGTGACAAGCCATCACAAAACCCTAAATAACGTTATACACATTAGTTTGGATTATAAAACATGGGACCCTAATACAATTCCAAGCAAATTCTATATTTCAGTTTTGTTAATAGTTTTTATTTTGTTCATTTTCACATTTTTATTTGATATTTTTTATATTTGCTTCATATTGCATTAATAAATGTACACCTGCAATTTGATACTCTGCTTCTGAGTATTGGTACCGTTAACATCCAACAGAGACATTAATTTATTGAGCATAATACATTTTTTTAATAAGCTTGACCATATTGATAACTCTGCTAAGTGTCTAAATTGTCCACATGTGCTTTTGGCTGTGAGTGTGCCCTGCAGTGAGCTGGTGTCCTGTGTAGGCTGTGGTTCTGCCCTACACTTGATTTCAGGTTGGCTATAGCCCTTACCAGGAATAAACAGCTACTGTATGAGATAATGGTTAGAACTGAAACCCATTCTTTTTTTTTAATTCTAGCAAGTGGTAATTAACATTTCTAATGAATTGCTTTAAGACACAAGCTGTGAGTGCTTCTTACTGTTAATGGCATCGTACAAAGTACTCTCATCCTCTGTCCTAAATTAATTAATCCATTGAAAATGTTAACTAACCACTTGCTAAGTTTAATGTGTTTAATAAATTCTGAGTTAAAGTTATATTTGAAGAGTTAATACTTTTAAAATCTGGTGACCACATTCTGTTATAGATGCTTTATACAGTTATAATTTGGTTATTTGGCACAAATTAAGTGTTTAAGTGTCAACAGATCATAGGCCTGAGAATTAGTGAAGGCTATAAAATATAAAAGGCTATAAAATGCAGACTCTTGTAAAAACAGTTTGATTAGCTATTTTAAATTATTGTTGTGATGTATTAATTTTACAGAACTGTCAGTTTTCTGTGTTATCCTATAAGGAGGTTTACATACAGTTACTTTATTTATTTAATTCTTAATCTATATGCTAGCTGTGTTCAAGTGTTTAAAATTTAGCACAGACACTGTCATTTTGGAAGAATCCACCAACATCAGAGTTCATCTGTTTGGATGAGGTGTGCTTGGAGGTTTATTGCAGGAGTAATTTCTTTAAAAATCCAGTTGGCAGCAAGTGAAAGAAAAAGATATAACAATGCTGAGCATGTCTTCCAATTTAATAATCCTAGAAACACAAATGATTTACTTGACAAGACTGCAGCTCACCATCTGAACGGAATGGCTATTTTAGATAGTTATATAGTTTGATGTCCTTTTTTCACACATATATTTTATCTATCTTATTATCCCAATGAAATGTATTGAAATGTTGTTATTGTGAAGGGTACTGTTATTTTGAAATTTAAGTTGAATACCTAATCTTTTTTTTATAAAGATTCATAAGCAACTAAAAAGTACCTGTTATAAAAGTTTTTTTTTTAAAATGTGAATATCTACCAATATTCAGTTTTATAAAATTTAATGAAAAAGAGTTTGCTGTTTTTCTATAATCCTATTTTGGATTATGGTAGGGTTGGAAAGGGTTTTCTGTGTTTTCTAGTGACAAATCAATATTTTAAAGAGTATAAGATGAAAGCATCAGAAGAACTCAGTTGTACCTACAGCCCGTTATTCTACAAACTGCTGTAATCTGTCTTCCTATGTCCTCTCCCATGTGAATACAGCTTGTCTATGTAGGTGTACTGTGTGTTTTTGATAGAATACACTTCCAGTCCGTGTCTGGAGGAATTGAATTGCAAAGTGATAGTTTTGAGGTGGGGTTTTTTGTATTAAACCAATAGCATTGAGGAAAAACATGTCCAGATTTAATGCAAATTGCAGGCATCCCCACTTACTTTTTGTCACATCCTTCTTTAAGAATAATACAAATTGGAATACATCACTTATTTTGGTTGTTATATATAACCAAATAATATACAATGGATTTGAGTTTTGTTATGGTTAGATCATGAAAGAGAAAAAATGACAGCAAACTCATGAATGTGTCATTTGCCTTTTGAGGTTTAGAGGGGTATTCCCTTTTAAAGAAGGAAAAAATACTCTCGTTTTAATTTCAGATGTCTGATTTTGGATGTTGTCAGGGGATAAACCATTCACTTGTTCCTCATCATTTTATCAGAATCCGTTGGTTATTTCAGATTGTTTTCATGCAAAACAGAAGGAAAGGGAACTGGAGAATTTTAAAAGATTTCTGCATGTGTGGGGAAAAAATCATGCATAGAAAGTGGCGAAAAAGTTTTTTTTTTACCAAATCAGGTTTTATTAAAATAATTGCATCTTGAGCGACTTTACTGGTGGGGAACTTAAAGTTGTAATCAGTTTTCCCAGTGTGCATCAGGTTCTGTAAATAGTTATGTGTGAATTGTTGCACTTAAGCAAATGTTGACAAGAGCATTTCTTTCAAGTAGGTATGTGGTAAATTAGCACTGATGGAAATGATAAGAATCTACTTTCCACCTGTTTTAAGGTCTTTTTCTTTTACTGTCCAGAGAAACTCTACTAGTGTTTTATAGTCTCCCATCTCTGATTCACAGCCTGAGTCCTCACCGACTGTGGTTTCCACAACTTTTCAATCTTTCATGTCAGCCTACTGTACCTCCATTCTCGTCTTTGCTGCCACTTTTGCTCCAAAAGACTTTCTGTCCACCCTTCTTAAACTGTCTCTTTTCTAGACATCCATTCCTAAACTGTGGAGCAAGCTACCCACAAAACGGTGCACTCCCTAACCAGATTTTGGAATTTGCACAAGAGTCATCCGTTTACACCTGACAGTTTACACATGACCACTCAGCTCTGGATCAACTGCATCCTTCAATAAGGCTTACACTGTTTGCCACTAATGTTTTTAAATCTGGTAATATAACTTGCAGTTATTCACTGTAAACATGAGCTACAATACATACCCGCGAAGTATTTACATTTGCTGCACCTTTATCTACACTGTCTTTCTGTTTTCCTTTTTATGTGGCATTTACAGCCTGTGCTGACCCCAGTTCCAATCATTTCATGATTGATCTTTATCTTAGCATTTAATGTACATTTTCAATAATGTCATTCACTTATCATAAGGAATCTGCTTAACAAATACACAATAATAAAAATAGTTTACAGTGATTGATAGCTAAAGGGAATCTCTATTTTTACCTCTGTATGCCAGTAACTCATTCTTTTAGACTGTATTCACTTATATGAATGCCTACATATTATTTATATATTATACTCCATCTTTAAGATACTCCATCTTAACAATTACCTTTTTTATTCAATCAGTTTTATCAGAGTAACATATTAGTACTGTAACTCCTTTGTAATTCTCTTTTTATGGACAGAGGGAATTGAATAAGAGTTTCACTGTAGCAACTGGACATTATATTTTTTAGGTCAAGTTCTAATCTTGGTGTGGATTTCATTTTTCATTTGATAAAATTAGAAAAAGAGGGTTTTCTCCATGCACACAGTGCCCCATGCCTTTCAGGTCTGGTCTGGTCTCTCACACCACTCGCTGTGCCATGACTCGAATGACTGTTTCCATTGATACCAGAATATTTAAACATTTGTTTCTCGTGCACAAAGCCGCCAGTGTGCAAAAGGTTGAAGGAAATGGGCAGCCCTTGGAAAGTGTGCTGATATATAAAACTCCCAAGTTTCAGATCCACTTAAGTGTGTCGAATGACTGCATATTTGTTGTTGCAGCATCAGTATTAGAATATATATTAAATATACAGGAACAAGTAGCCATTGTAAAGTTGATTAAGGCACAGGTACTGTATGTCATCATAAAGTGTTAGGCTTATCACATTAAAAAATATCTATACTTTCCTTTATACCAAGAAAACCTTAACAACTCAAATTACCAATCCATTTCTTGATAGCTTCTTTTCTTTGCTAGAGACTTCTTGCCTGCC